AAGTTCTCGACAAACAGTTGCGGGACGTTATCATCGCGTGCACTGAGTGGTGATATCGCTTCCAGTCCTTTGCGAGTGATGTGTTCCTAATGTCATATCAATTGGCAATTAATTTTCATTCAAATTAAAACCAAAAACCAATGGTTACCTGAATCTCAGTGACGAGCACTTGGAGCCCAGAATCGATAGGTTTCAGGAGTCGGTACATATTCTGGAGATCCTTTCGCGCCTCATTGTGAACCATTGACGGGCACTCCGTCTGAAGGAACGACAGGTGATCGCCAACCATTCGGGCCTCGCATTCGGCGGTCACGCGAGGGTAGGACGACGTGTGCAGAAAGCTCCGGGACCTGAGATTCTCGGCGTCCAATTTGGTCAACACTTTCTCCATATAAGAGGAACAGTCGCACGACGTGAGCAACTCCTCGGCCTCTCGTCTGTAGTACTCTCCGGTCGACTTGAGGAACAGACTCTCAAACAGATTCTGATACAAGTCTAGCGAACCCTTCTTCTTGTACTCTTCCACGTGAACCAGCGATAGGATAACGCCCTGAACTACAGACTTGTTCTGCGGTAAACCCATGCGATCACTACATCAGTGGTGATGATAAGAGTGATGAGTTAGCAATCGTATGGAAAAGAGTGGTTTGTGTGGAGACATACGCTTCGATGGCTTCGAGCAGAAGTGATACCAAGGAGTCTTTGAGCGGTTCAATCATATTTACTTTCCACAAGTGAAGACCCAATTCCCCGATTTCTAGCATTTGTTCGCTGGTGTCGACGCACCCGTACGAGAGGTCCGCCTCCGAGTACTTGTGTTTCTTAATGTGTTGTGTATTTAAATACATGTAAAGTATATTCATATAAGTGACACCTTTTTGGGTGAAGTAATGCTAATTAGTAATCAATTGAGACATTGAGTGATCGGACAAACCCTCGCGATATATAAGCCACTGCTGATGGTATGCTGACAACAGGCCCTCGTGTGAGGACTTGACAACTGTCTGATAGAGTTGTTTGACGTGTTGGTCGAGAAAGGTCTTCGTCTCCTGGTATACGCGATCACCCAATGGTTCTGTGGGTTGTGGTCACAGATATACAGACATTAGTCAATGTATTAGTCATTCATATAATTATCTTAAGACTTGATTCATATGTCAGAACTTTACTGACATATGAATCAAGTGTTGAGATAATAGTGAGTAATAGTAAATGTGGACAAAAAGTGGTCAATTGGTGGACAGGGATGTGTTGGATGTGTTGGCGGTGATGGTGTCATACCCGGGAAGGCGACGCATAGCTGGTACAGGTCTGGGAAGCGGTCGTTCCACTCACTCCTCTGGACGTGCTTCAAGACAATCACTTTCTCGACGGTCGCGCGGATCTGATTCCACGTCGGCTCGAACTCCACGTGCTTTGGCTTCAGTGACATCACCACTGAGTGCTCACCGATAGCCAAATGGTCGCCAAATTATCACCGGTTTCTTGAGGCCACTCACGAGTCGATGGCTTTGTTGTCAAAACACTTAATGGACACAAGAAATGGACACTAAATGAGTGATCAATGGTTTGCAATCGTATGGTCTGTATTGAGATAATGACAGACAGTTGGCGGATGTCTCGCAACGAGTTGTCGATTGAGTGGTGAATATGTAATGAATTAATAAATAAAATGCAAACAAATATCACATCAAAACACAAATCAATACAAATGTCGCCATTTATGCAATCATTTCAGCAATGAATCAGTCCTTTAAATACATACACCACTCATACATAGTGTTACACGAGATAGAGGTGAGGGTTCCGCACAAATGCATTCATTTAACCATTAATTTACTCGTATTTATCAAAAAGGGGGCAATAAATGTTGACTAATGTGTAACAGTATTAGATTGTGAGTCGTAAGCGGTTGAAAGGGTTAAAATTGTGTTGACTTCGCGTGAAATATAAATATTGTTACGCAATGTATGCAACCCTTCACTCATTCACTGGTTTACCACACAGTCATGAATGCGACCAAAATGTACCCGAAATACAGGAATAGTTGGCTTTACATTACTTTCACACACTTTTTACTACATATTTTATTACATACTTACGTTACTCTCTCTCTCTCTCTCTCTCTCTCTCTCTCTCTCCCTCTCTCTCTCTCAAACTTTTTTATATAAAATATAGGAATAGTTAGAGTATAATGTGTTGAGCCGTACAAACAGGTAAGACAGCAATTATAATATTGTAATCAATTTATTTATATTATGATTATATTATAAATTAAATTCCTAATGATTAGAATAAATAAAAGTTTGGCAACTAATTTGGCGACAAATTAAAAAAATTAAAATCATGATCACTTATTAATACAAATACGTATAAAACCAATATAAATAATTAAAATAATGCTATTCTAACATAAAGTAAATATTTTACATTAAAAAATCTAACAAAAAATTACAATTAAATAAATTTAAAACATTTTTGTTTGTCGTGAGGAATACGGGTCTTAAAGAGGACAGAGTCGGCCCTGAATTGAGTATTAAGTAAAGGCATATAACCATAGATTTGGACAAAATAGTTGATACACTTGTGGCGCTCATTGAAGTGCGAGTCGTCCTCAGACAGACTGATCGGACAACCGGGACATCTGTAACAGTAAGACAAGTATTTCAGTCAAAACTATAATTCATTTCTGAATAGTGTATAGAAATGTTTAAGTCGTTTGCAGGACTGACCGGAAAGTCCAACGAGAGGTGACTTTAATGGGTGGTTGTCGTGAGATATGAGAGACCAGAAAATTCATGGCTATGTCTTCACAATTCATATAATCGTCGACTTTATCACGAATTGCTTTTGGCATCGAATACGTGTATAAATAGCTGTAATACTACACAAGTATTCAAAGCTTTAAATAGTATACAATTATCGTAAAAGAAATGTCTAATGAATTACTTTATGAAAAAAGGCGGCGCCCGTCAACACCATTGATAATTCGCACGAATAGTTAGAGTTATAGAGAAACGAAGAGAAGGGCTCATCCCACGCGTGATAACGGCCCGGAAAGCCTACAATACGATCGCGAGCTTCGCGCCAAACTCTGAACAACAAAACATATTTTATAAGACAATTGAATGATGCGATGAAAATGAATGCATACCTGAAGCCAAAGATAATCTCGTCGTGTCTGAGGTGCGCGTCGTCGTCCATCGATAGTATGGCGTCGGTCTCGATGTCAGCGTAAGGCAGGAATCGGTTGTTTAGGGAATTCCTTTTGGCTCGGATTACATGTATAGGAGCGCCCAGTTCTGGCCACCGGAGGTCAGCCGAGGGCGGGCGCGCAGAGTTCCATATGACTAGGACTTTGTTTAAATGCGGTAAACCCTGTGGACAGACATCAAGTTTAATGAAAACCGCGTTAATTGGACACAAAACTACTCGACATTACTTTGAGTCTCTGAAGTGAATCAATGAGAACGGCTTCCCTTTCGTAGGTCAGTATAACAACAGTGAACTGCTCTTTGGGTACATTTCCGCCCAAGGCTTCGCTGAACTCTTTGCCTGCACCTCCAGTTCCGCCGCCAATGGGTCTGAAGCCATACGAAGAGCCCATGAATTTAGCGTCCGATGAGAGGATGGGATCGAAAGGCAATGAAGGAAATGTAGTGAACGGGTCGAACCGGTAGTCGTTCCACAGTTTATATCCATTGGTTATGACTAATGAATAGTTGCGTTGATATGCTATGGAAGGGAATGGCGGCTCTATTGGTCCCAAATTCTCTTCGTTCTCGCCGTTGGTATCGATGAGAACCAAACCAGAGGTGGCGTCGAAGAACTTCATTGGATTAGTTGTGTTGAACAGACTCTGCGACTGTTCCTCGCGAGCGCCCGCAGAAGGGATTTGTAGTCGTGATTGTCTAATGAGTGCTAATATTGTGTCTATTATTGCGTTGATTGAAGACAAGTGTCTGTTGAGGAATAGCTGTCCATTGCGTCGAAGTTCAATGATGTCTGCGTCTGAATACGAGCGCAACAAAAAGTGTAATTCTGTGATCCGGGCGATCGGTAGGGGTATGGCTGCTAAGCGCCAGTCGATTACTTCATCAAAAGGTAACCGAAGATAATCGCCACCAATAATGACGGGAATTGAGCCTAAGTTTGCGAGACTTTCAGAATTAATAACAAAACGATTTTAACAGAAATGCAAACCTGAAGACAATATATTAATGAGACTTAAAGATAGATTAGTATTGAATATGACTTCGTTATCAATTGGCGGTAAAATTAATGCAAAAGTTGATTGTCTTAAGACCAAAGTCTGATTATCACACAAACGTCTAGTCTTCTCATCGCAAACAAAATCAAAGAGCAATTCATTATTGTTTGATAAATGCGTTGATAGTTTCAAAAGTGTTGTTTTGATTTGGTTTTGAATATTATTATTGCTATCAATTGGTCCCAAATAAGTGGCCAAATATTTACGTCTTGCGGGACAAAAACGGATATTATTTTCAGGATCTATGAAATTTCGTTCAGGAATTTGCGGTAAAATTATGTCAAAACCTGGTCTAAAGTTATTTATTTTAAAGTTTGTCTCAACTAAAACTGATTTCTTTAGATCTAAGCCATCGATTGAATGCAAATCAATGTCTCTAAACATATTGATTATTATATGATTGCGTCCATCGCCTGAAAGATTAGACCAAAATGTTAGCAAACATTGACACAAAAACTCGATAATTAAGTTCAATACCCGCCCAATAAGACAATGAATTGAGATATGAATTCAAGTAATCTTTTGTCAAAATATGATTCCTATCCCTGAATAGGATGACCACATAAACACATGCAATGGTCGGATCAAACGTGACGTGAATATTGCCATTAAATGAGTCCAATATCTGTGACCGCAGTCTTTGGAATTGGTTCATCAGTTTGTGCTCTTCTCGGACATCGGAGTCTTTGGTGTCATCGATGTCCTCGTCTTCCGGGTGATAGAAGTAGAGAAGGAATGGAGAGAATAGAGAACATCGCGAGTAATCGAAACAGTTATACATCCGACACAACTCGTAGCCATTCCTCCGATGTCTTGAGTTCACGGCATTGTCACCACTCTTCAGATCTGTTCACAAATACATACCAATCAACATCTAAAGTGTAAAACACATGACTTTTGTCATATACTGACCACCAGTTTGTGGCAATGAGGGCAAGAGCTGGAGTGGAGGCGCCAGCAGTGCGTTAGACTTCAAGAGGACCTCCTTCTGGGCGTACTTTGTCTGCTCTAAAGACAACTGAATTCTCTCCAATTCTGAGGTCTTCTTAATGAGCTGTGACTTCAAGACCTCGTATTTGTTGTTATACTCCGATATCTCTTGCAACAGATCCCGCCGTTTGGCCTCCAATTGTCTCAATTCATTGCGAACTGAGGCCCGGATTGTCAGCAACTCTTTGAC